TGCTCCTTTGCACATTAATAATTCCAGAGATGTGGACAGACTTCTCACAGAGCAGCTCACTACCTGGACCTAATTTTCTGTTGGATGAGAGCACAGAGGCAGAACAAAACAAGGAAAGGAAGTTCTTGCATCTAATTATTTGTTCTCTGTGCATGCAGCACGTAGATGTATGTATGGACAGTGTCATCCTAAGTGAAAGACAGAAGATGAAGATGGAAAAAGATACCTCAACATCTTTGGCAGCAGTCCCACCCACAGTCCTGAAAGAAGTCAGCAGAAATAAACAGTGACATACTGCAAGAGTTATGAGGCCTGGGGGAGGAAATCTTGAAAAATTCCAGAGAAAAGAGGATATGGAAAACGGGAATTTCTAGAAGAAAACTAAAGCACAACTTTCACACTGTGCTTTCTCAGAGTGAATGCTGAAATCACTCCTAGCATTTAATACTCGTTCATGCACACCGTCCCTCAGAATGCCTTCTGTAGTTAATCTGTACTTCAAATAAGCCACAGATGGATCCGAGCTGGAAGAGACACCATCCAGTCCAACCCTTTTCCCCAAGACAGATCCAACTACATTATGTCATTCCTGACATATTTGTCTTGCCTGTTCTTAATGACTGCTGATGAGGAAACTCAGCAATTTCCCAAATCCGCCTTTTCCAGTGTTTCACAACCTTTAGGCTTGCAAGTTTTCCCTGTTATCTAACGTGGAGTTTTCCCTACTCCAGAAAGCCCCTCATTTCTGGTGCCACCCATCACAACACTGCACACACAGCTTTTAAAATACTGGAGATTTACCCCGTGCCTTCTCATTATTCTCTTCTTTAGACTAAACAACTCCATTTCTTCTGATCTTTACCCCACAGTTATCTCCCCGAGATATCAGATCACCCTTCTCTGGACACTCTCCAACGCTGCTCTTGGATAATGATGCCCAAGTTTGGGCATAAGTGCTCCAGCTGTGGAGCAGAAGGGCTGCCTCACAAACCTACCAGGCTCCCCCGTTCTCACAAACTCATCTGATGTTTGCCTTTTTTGTAGCTGTGTGACATGTTGACCTCATATTCCGTGCATGATTCACTACAATTCCAGCTACTTTTCTAAAGAAACGCTGTGTAAGGAGGTGCTCACCATCCTCAGCTTGTAAAGGTTCAGCAGATGATCTTCTGTTTATCACCGCTGGCTTTAATTCTGCTTTTTTTTTTTCCAGGCTGTTTCTCTAATTTGCCATGATGATGTTTGATATCACCATGGTCCCTTCATGCTGGCAGGCCCTCCCACATTTCTGGTGTATTTAATCCGAATGTTTTATTTCATCATCCCGGTTCTTAATGGAAACACTGATCAGAGTTAAACTCGGGACCAGTGACTGCCAGGACTCTTTACTCCAGAGCAGATAAAGTATCAGATCACCTCCAGGTACTTGGGGCTGATATTGTGCAGCCCTCATATTTCCCTAACTGCAGAAGAGGGAATACGTATAATGGAGTGTTACATACATTTCCCAGCATCCCGTCAAGGCTCCGAGACCCTTCATTCCAGCTCGGAGCACAGCAGGTAACTTCCCAGTCACGCACCACTGTGCTGGATCCTTCCCAGAGCAACAGCAGGTTGGACCACTGTGCACCCAGGAGGCAAGGGAAGAGGAGGCTTACCAAGAACTCTGATCCTCCAGAGTAACACACGGAATTATTTATACTAAATTAAAACTCAGATTATGCTTACCGATTATACAATCTGTCTGCTTTGGATGAGCAAATATCTCACTTCATTCTGGGGGAAAAAAGGATTTATTTCCCCAGACTTTCAACATGTCCTCAACACCTTCCATCTCCACATTCCATCTATTGTGCAAAGCTCGTTCCTGAGATTCGTGTAGGGCTTCCATGACTCATAAAAGGGAGTTCAGATTCCTCAGTGCCCTGGAACTCCAGCTGTCCATTGGTCCCTACAAAGAGTGATCCCTATTCCTGAGGAACCTTCCTGTGGCCCACAGGGATTCCAGTGCCTGTAATTGTCCTAAGGTTACATGTCTGATGGTCAGCAGAAAACCGGGAGCTCAGAGGAGAAAGGAGGTGTCTGCTGCCTACAAAATGCCCAAAACATTTATGGCATATTATATCTGGATTCCTTCTTATCAGTCAGGGTTAATTCTCAAATTCCTTTGCTAAATTAAGTATTGCTCCAGCAAATACCACTGCACTGCATAATGCCCTCTGGAATTGGGGTACCTACCCCAACAGATGTTCATCATAGTCTTTGTTTCACAGGAATACTTGTCCTGTTGGTCATAAACCTACAGAATTTCTTAAAACTGCCTCACTATGCTTCAATAATTCTTCACTTAAAAAGGAGATGGCTCTCTGTGTGGGTATCCTTGGCTATCTATCCCCTCCCTTTTCCTAGCAGGGAGAACTTGAAGATTTGAAGTCTCAGGCATTGTTTTTATGTTCTTCTATGTAAATGACAGTAACATAAACAATGGAAATGTGTTTATTTTTTCACTTCTTTCATGGATGAGCTCAAAGGTAGTCTTAGAGTTAAGCTGTGTTCTGCTTAAATTTAGTTTTTGAGGCACACCTGTTACTTACAAGGGGAAAACAACCACAAAAAATACTGTATCACACAAAACAATTCCTCTGGAGGACAATTTATGTTCAATCATACCCTCTGGGAGAAATAAAAAAAGAAAAAAAGCCAAACATGCCTAGAGCCTTTTCTACAATGAATCAGAGGTCAGTAACCTCCTGAGTACACACAGGCCACTGCCTTGCTCAAACCAGCACAAGGGATGAGAAGGCGAACAGAGGAAAGAAGAAGTGATCAGGATGACAAGTTCACCCACTGTGGTCCAGCACAGACAGGAAAAGGAGCTAATTCTGCCTCTTCCTTTTAACATGTCACTCCCAGCCTCCTTCCCTGTGCTCATTCACACACAGGACAACCACCAAAGGAAGAGTCTCTTTACCTACACAAGCCTCAGAGGAACTGCCTGGAGACCTAACAGCACTTGTCCTGGATTAGGAGTTTCCAAGTCCTAGCATTTTAAATAAGGTACCTCTACTGAGAAAGCACTAAAAGCAGTTATCACAAGCATTTATCTTCAGTCAGAATGGAAACAGTATTCTCTGAGTCTGCCTTGTGAATACTCTCCCCAGCCTATTAACCCCTCGCCAATCCCTCCCTGATTTCTCAGTCATGCGAGGCAGCTCTTTCTCTCTGCCGCTCCTTTTTCCCTGGAGTAGAACAACATAAAAAAACCCAAAACGCTCTAAGGGTTTTAGAACAGCAGACTAAGAAAATAAAAGCCAAGCATAAGCAAATTTCTTCTTTCCTATAAAAGGTTCCAAACCCAAAGTAGGCAGATTTGCAGAACCATTTCCGCCTGGCGAGCCGATGGAAAGAACGGGGTTCCTCAGAACTCGCTTACCTTTTACCATATTTAGAGAAGGATCAAAATAGTTAAACTGACTGACTGCTACTCTTGACTTTCATTCTTTTTCGTGTTTAGACAACCTCTGCAGCCTCCAAGAGCCAGAACAGCACCCTGGTTCCCCTGGAACCCGGTCATCCCATCGCTCCAGCTGCTGCGTGAGTCATTCCAGTGCAGCATGACATTCCCTTTGTAAAGCGCTGGTTCCCAAACCACGGTCCTCAGAAAGCTGGCTGGCTACGTGCTGCTGGCGGAGCTCCTGGCTCCCAGCGGCTGCACGCCTTTAAAGACAACAGCTAAACGCTGTCCTCTTACACGTTTCCCTTGTAAGCTGCTGCTTTAAGTTGCCGCAGGGCAACTGTGCTCCTGTGAATGACTGAGGAGGTGTCTCGAAATAACTTCTGAGACACGGTCTGCGCAAAGAAAAAAAAGCAGCCCAAACAAAAACCTGTGTGGAATTCTTGCATTCTTGCTCTAGATAACATTGTCAGCTCTTCATGCAAATCTCCCTGGTCCAGCGAGTCTGGGAACTAGACCGAGACTGGGAATTATCTCCAGCTCTACCATATGGAGATGCAAGAGAGCAGGCCAGTTGCTTGTTTTATTTAACATGTGTTTCTTTTACCAGTAATATTGACATTGCCTTGTTCCTGTTTATGCTCTAGGAAAGGAGAAAATAAACTTTTTTTTCCTCTCATTATGTTTTGCTCTTTTAAGAGTTCCCTGTTCCTGTCAAAAGGAGTTAAGCTAAACAGAAACAAGGCAGTTTTGTTCCAGAGTAAATGGGTCCACACTTGGAGCTATTTGGAAATTGCTCCTGCAGTTCAAATGCATACACCCCCCCCCTTAATCCTCATTAACCTTCTAATGTAAGAAGGCCTTGAGGTTGGGTAGTTGATTATTTTGCTAACAGACCACAATAAACACCATTTGACGGATACCAATCCAGGGCTTTCACCATTTGGGTCGGGCACCTATTTCAGTGGCTTAAGAGAAAAGTTTCTAACGGTTTGCAAAGCGACAAGAGGGATGCTGCAGCTATGAGGATGCTGAGAGGGAGTCAGGGTTCCCTGCGCTCCTCCACACGTGACACACTGGGGAACCACCTCATAAATTCAGGATAACCCTTGGAGAGAGGGAGACCTGTGATGTAACTGGAGCGAACACAGAGGAGAAAAGGCAAGGCTGGCAGATCCCTGGGACGACTCCTCCTCTAAGTGCCTCGGAAATCACCCAGCCAAGCGAAGCTGATCGCTCCCCAGCCATAGCAACGTTAACTTGACAAGTAGCACGTATGTTAGTGATGCTGTAACCATGAACGTGCTCCAGCGCTCTGCGGGGCAGCTCGCAGTGCTGAACCCTCCTGCCTCGCTGAGACAGCTTTATTTGGCTATTTCAAACGTATTAGAAGTCCGTTTCATTGAAGGTTTTTAAGCGAACCAGAGGGGCTCCTCTCTGCCCACAGGATATCCCAAAGGTGAACCGCCCAGGGTCACCCATTCTCCTTCCGACAGGGAGAGCGTTTAGGCTGGAGAGGTGAATGATGAAGTAGTAGCAAACTTACTTTCCAGTGATCAATTGGCTTCTGGATGGCGTGCACATGGGCTGGACATAGTAGTTCTCCAGTTTGACCCCTTCGGCAGCCAGTTTGTCCAGCGTGGGCGTCCTGATCTCGGACCCGTGGTACCCCACGTCCCTGAACCCCTGATCGTCCGCCAGGATGAAGATGATGTGCGGCTGCGAGCGGGGGGCGCCGGCCCCGGGCTCCTCTGCCAGCGGGGTCCCGCCGGGGCCGGCGCGGCGGCTGCCCCAGGCCAGGTAGCCGCAGGTGAGGAGGCTGAGCAGGGACAGCCCGGCCAGCACCGCCGCCACCATCCTGCCCGGGCAGGGGCGGCGTGGCCAGCGGCGCCCACCGCGGGCCATCCACCGCGGCGGGACGGGAGGAAAACAGCAGCGAGAAGGAAACAAACCAACAAAATCCCAACAAAGCCGGGCGGCCTCGGGGGCGGGCAGCGCCCGTCAGGGGTCCCGCCGCCCGGGGGACATCGCAGTCACCCCAACTTGGGCAACTTCAGCCGCTGGAGCCGGTGCCGGAGCCGGGCGGGTGGGCAGGGCCCCGCCGGGGGTCACAGCACCCTCGGCCCGCCCCCGGCCCCGCGCCGGGGCGCCGCTGCCAGCCCGTCCCGGGGCCGGTGCCCATGGCGGGGCGAGCCGGGGCGCCCCGGGACGGGACGGCACCGGGATGGGATGGGACGGGTCGGGACGTGCCGCCCCCCGCCCGCCCCCGCCGGCCCGAGCCGCTCCCTCCGCCCTCCTCCTCCTCCTCCTCCCTCCCCTCGCCCCCGCCCCCGGGGGCTCCCGGCCCCGCCGGAGGACAGGGACACCCCGGGCCCGCCGGAGGACGCGGGCACCCCGGCCTCGGAGCGCCCACAACCCCTGCCCGCCCCCTCCGCAATCCCGGCTCCTGCCCCTGCCCGCCCCCTCCGCAACTTCTTTCTCCCCTTCCCTCTCCTCCCCTCTCCCCGCACCTCCTCCTCTTCCCTCGCCCGCCCCCCCGCATCCCAGAGGAGAGCCCCCCTACCCCGCCCCGCCAGCCGCCCCCCAGAGCGAGGTGGTCCTACACCCTCTCCCCCCCCCCAAATATTGATTGGTTTAAGTGTCTCTGACATGGCCACAAACATCTGGAAGGTATGAACGTACCGGATTTGTTTGCAGCCACAAAACGGCCCCAAATCCCAAACTCTCCAATTCTGGCGGGGCTGTGGCAAACGCCAGGAATGCGCCTTTGCAGAATACAACAATTTTTAAGAATTTGGGTTAAAGTACGAATGTGCTGCAGTTGCAAAATGCAACTTCACCCCGTCCTGGAAGACACTGAGTCAAGCACAAACTTACATTCACGAACGATTAGGTTGAACTAAAGTAAATCTGCAGGTCTGACTTGTCTAGCGTGAGTCAGCATGACAGGAACAACTTACACTCAAACTGGGTTTTACAAAGCATTAACTCTTAAACAGCCGCTTGGACCGAATCCTCCAGTTCCTGCACCTCTGTGCTAAACTCCAGCTGGTCCCTGCCAAGGGACTGCCTGCATCCCTCTGGGATCCCTCCTGCATTAAAATCAAGTCGTGCTGCCTAGAGGAAACTTGAATTTGGGTTGAACCTAACTGGTTCTGCTCACATCAAGGTGCACAAAAGCGTCCCCACTCCGATATTTCCATTGAAAAAGAGCTATTCAGAAATAACTAAGCCTTGTGCTGAATTTTGCAGTGATACAGCAGGGAAATGTGCAAGTAAAGGTGGATTTTAGTGTGCAATGTAAGGGCTTGTCCACCCTGAAAAGTAACACAAAAAGATTACATCTGCACTGAAAAACCTACAGAGTTTAATCCCTGAGGAAGAACATCTCCTGAAATCAGAGGAACTGCACAGCACGTAAATTCAAGCTCTTTAAAAAAAAGAAAAAAAAAATCCAAAGTCTTAAACTGAAAAAACCCTGAAATTTTCATATACTTTGAATTAATGTATTCAGTGCACTTGAGTTTAAATACCTATGGATGTCAGGGGCACTGGAATTAGAAGTCTCTTCCAACCCAAATCATTCTATCATTTCTTGAAATTACATCCCCTTTTAAAGAATTCTCTGTTAAGTTTTTTTCTCCTGCCTTTTCCTCACGTTTACAAGACCAAAAGAATATATGTAGAAACCTAAACCTATAAAAGGTAAAGTGCAAATCAGATTAGTGATGCTATTTTGCTTTTAGCAGAACAAATTATGATGCTCTTTTAACATAAGCTGTAGTAGCACCATGAATCCAGTCAAACATCAGAGCATTTTACTAAATATCTGATCACATGTATATATATATATTTTCTAGTAATTAAGTGTATTTTTCATTAATTCTTCCATTTGCTTTTAAAATATCAGCTATCGTGGTATAGTTATTATATAGTCCATGCATTATGGTATCTATATATAGTTATCTTTAACTAGTCATATATGATTTTGCTTAGAGAATCAAAATATTTCCAACACATCCCAAGTATTCAGCTTGGCAGGAGGCTGGCTAGAGGGGATCATTCCCCAGGAGGTGACCAAGGTCAGTGAGCAGAACAACAGAATCATTTAAAACAGAAGTTTGGAATTCAGATAGTTTGAAAAGTAAGAAAAAAAATATATATTATTAAGCAGATGCAAGAGAGCACAGCTATTGGGGTACAGGAGGAAAAGAGAGCCTGCAGCTTCCCAGTGCCCCGTTAGCCACACAGAGCCCTGTCAGTCACCACCCAGCTCCAAATGAAAACACCCCAGGGCAATCTCTGCCAGACATCTATAAACTTGACCTTCTCCCTTTAGGGGTTTGACAAAGCTTCCCTTTTTACCCCCCCCTCCACTTTTGAAAAAAAAAAAAACAAAAAACAAAAGTAGGCTTATGTCAGCAAAATACTCTGCTGACCTTCATGGAGAGAGGCCTTGGAAGATAACGTGCTATTAATAATCCACTTAAGAAAATATTTGTGGATGCTGAGGAACTGCAGCCAAGGTTTATCAGCCCCTTCAGGATGCTCAGTGAAAGGAACAGAAGAGTTGTGAAAGCTGGAGGAAGTATTTTTTCCCCTCAGGGAAAAAAAAAAAACCCAGAACATCCACAGGTATTTAAACTCGAGTGCACTGAATACATTAATTCAAATATACACTGGTTGAAATTGAATTTAGCACACCATTAGGAAAGGAGGTATTTTTAGTACTTGTTATGCAGCCTCTGCGTGTATTGAGGCCATCAAATTAATTTAATTAAATGTGTGCAGAGAGCATGGCTGCAGTTGGAGGCTCCTCTGCAGTTACCTGCTGTCCAGGTGGGACTGTTAAAGGTGCCCTTTTTGGGTTGTTTTGGGTCTAACCTCGCTCTTTCCAAGCCATCCATGTTTGAAATACACCCCAGCAAGATAGCAACTTTGCAAGTGCAGATAAAAATGTTTTCCCCAAATGTTAACATGTGTTCTTCTTCCTTTCCCTGCCCTGAGTGGCCCTTTGTGCAGCTGCCTGGCAAAGGTGACAGCCTTGTGGTGTAGGAGGAGACAGGGCACGGCTCCAGTGTGCCAAGGTGTAAGATGCCAACTCTCATTCCTTGTGCCACTACTCATCCTGAGAGGCAATCTCGCTCCCAGTTCCAGAGAACCACAAATAATAATGGTAAATGAGATCTTGGGAAGAGTAAGCAGGAAAAAGTAGATCAAAGTGCTAACACATTATAACTGTTCTTCTAACTCTTAGGTCAGCTAAGTGTTAAAAGGGTAATTCTTCCTAGCTGGACAAAAGTATTTCTTCCTAGTTAGAGGCTACATTTCTGCTTATCCTTGACTCAGAGCTCCCAGTAACCAGGAAGGTTGCAGTTTGGGATGTCCAATTCAGTGTTCTTCCTAGTTATGCCCGAGGCCAGAAAACCTTGCCTGTCTAAAGAAGGGCTTTGGGAGCTCCTATTTTTAGCTTAATAGCTGCAAGGACAAGTAGGAACAAAGCAGGCTTTGGCCTACACACAGAGTCAATATTCCATGTATTTCCAAGAACTGTAACCGCATTTCCTTTCCCCCTCAGTTCATTTCTGAATGCCCCTGTCCTCAACACACCTTCCCCTCAGGGAAAGGAAAAGGCAGAACATCCCTGCATTCTGCTTCCCAGGTGGATGCTGCACTCTTGCCAGGCCACTCATCACTGGAAACAGCATCCTACAACACGAATAAAAGCCTGGTGAGTCATGGGACTTACATCATTCCCTTTGCCTCCTTTGGTGGACCCTGGTAATTAATTTACAGATGTACTGCTTGGGAATGCTCAGATTCCACCCGTGGCTTACTCCCTGCTTTCTGATGACATAAACAGAGCTTTGCAGTTCGCTTAGTCTATATTTAACACAGACTTTCCTCAACTCCCTCCCGAATTTCATCGGCAAAGGGCCAGATCCTGATCTCAGCTCCCGCAGTGATGTAAATGTGCAGTCACTCAACTGATGCCGATAAAGTCACTCTGGAAATCTGGGACGTGACCTTACATATCCCTCTCCTGTCAGTCCCTGTGATGACTGAAACAGCACAGCTTTAGGGCTTGGTGGTTGCCTTCCTGGAGGAGTCTCCCATTTCCCAGCTACACGAGGTTTATGGTCCCAAACGAAACAGAAGCCAGCCTTTAAATGTGTGTAGTAGCCCTGCTGCAACGACTGCTTCTGGAAACAGCAACCGGCTGTGCTTCCGTAAGGAAAGGGGACATTTTAGCAGCAGATGCTGGGGGAAGTCATAAAGTCACAGACCGCTTTGGGTTGGAAGAGCCCTTAAAGATCACCCAATTCCAACTCCCTGCCATGGGCAGGGACACCTCCCACCAGAGCAGGTCTCTGAGCATATGTCACCGCTCCCTGGCTGTCCATGAGTGAGGGATGTGCACGTTTTTCTGGCTTTCCTGACTTTCTGAAGAGCCAAATAACCTGAAGAGTTTACAGCACACATTTTGAGGCTGCCACAGCCATCAGCTTTGAAGTTTAGGCATGCTATTGTTTAAATCTCTTTCTCGGCTGCAATCTCCAGCGTTGCCACAAATTGTACAGAAGGAACAGTTTCATTTGTTCCTAAGTGAAAAGTTTTTACAAACAAGGTCACCTTGTTTAAAACTTGTCTTTATATTAGTGCAGTTAAGGCGAGAGCAAGAGAACTGGGGCAGAGCATGAGCTTATAATGCAACATAAATCCAGAAAGTTTAAAACAAGGTAGAAAATTTGTTACCTTTTCAGAATCACTAAAGTTTTACAATGGAAGAGAAATCTTTCTCTTTGTCCAGAACAAAACTTTCCTGGGTTATGAGGGATGTAACATGGCCTGCTGCAAGCGTTTTACCAACTGTCTGGCTTTCACACAACAGGACATGCCTTTTTCCATACAACAGTGTGGAACTTTACAAGGGTAAAGCTGAAAATACTGATTGGTCAAAAGGGTGTAAGTGTAGCAAAATATAACTCTAAGTATTTCTTTTGGCCTGGTGAAGTATTTGATGTCAAGGTTACGGGTGCACAGCTGACACAAGGCTGTCCCTTTCCAAAGGAGTTTGAAGGGGAGGAATGCTTTTAACTGGGAATGGTGCATGGACTGCAGAAGGAAGAATGCTAATGAAGTGCTTGTAAGGCTCAAGATGTTTTAAATAGTTGTTAAATACTAGAAATGGCATTTAGATGACTCACTGCTACACCAAATACAAGCTTCAGGTCATGCCAATAGAACTTTACAGATTGTAATGTCAGAGATTACTTTGATAATAAGTTTTAATTCTACTTTATCATGATTGATTAAAAAAAAACAAAAAAAAAAAAAAGAGAAACCCCCAACATTAACAAACCCCAAACACTGAGTCTCTCCCTCCACAAAAAAACAAATCAACCCAAACCTACCCCGACACCTCACTCCTTCACCTTTGCCTGGGCCATTTCGTTGAGCTCATTTCTAGCTCAGAATTATGAACTGCTAGAATGTCATTGCTGCAGCAAAGCGTTAGGTAATGGATCATAAATGTCATCTCCGTGCTCAGGAATCGGAGCTGTGCACAAACCAAACAGGAGGCCTAAGCTCAAAAGCAGAACTAACCGGTCAAATCAGCCCAACGCCGACCACATTCCTCCTGCACGCCCTGGAAAAAGCAATAAAGCCTGATCCGGAGTATTCCTTATCTGCCTGGAGCCGGAACAAATGCCTCTTGTCTGAGAAATGGGTCCCTTCCAGCAACCAGCAGGTTGGGGATTTCCTGAGTTTATTGTGTCACAATCAATAACTGAAAGGGAAATTACATGGTTTTCTCTTAAGCCTGTACCTGTTTTTCATCTTACGCCAATTTGGCTGATGCACTGCGAGAAACAGCACCTCCAGTTTGTTTTGAGCCCACTACCTGCTGGATTGCTCTGCATCCCTTTTTTTTATTGGTTTGGCATGACAGTTCAGCACACATCTTCCTCCCAAGAGCTGGGAATTTATGAATAACCATGATGCTCTCCCAGTCTTAAAGGAAAGAACACTGAAGAAAAGCACACTGAAAAGTTAAAGTATATTCAGTGTCTCCTCATCCAGAAATTGTTTCATATCCTAATTAAATTGTCAAAAAGTGTATTAAAAGAAAAATTAAAAACATTTCTTTTCAGGACACATTTCCCCTTGCTAGATTGCTCATATGCACAGATATTATTAATGCTATTTATTTGATAGCACAAGAGAAGCATTACATTTTAATTTTCCAACTCCATGCTGCAAGAACCTTCATTTGCTTTTTTTACTGTGAGTTTCATAGTGAGAGTTTTGCAGCAGTGACAGCAGCACTTAGGGAAGACAGTAAGAATTAGATTTAGTTACAGATTTTAAAGCTGGAAGAGCCCACCACAATCATCTACGTAGCAGCTCATGTCATAGGGAGTACAGAAATTCCCTGAATTAATGCTCTTGTGAACATCTGAGCAAATGTTTTAGAAATGAACACAGATTTCATTTAAAAGTTATGATTACAGAGCTTGATTCACTGTTCCAGTTGTTAACCACTATCACTGAAAGTTCTGTATTTTATTTCTAGTCTGGATTTGATCCTGTCTAGTCCATGAAGCAACTACTGGTATTCCTCACCCGTTTCTAAACTCTCTGCTGATACATGTGACCAAAACACACATTAAGAGATAGAATATGGTACAAGAGGAAAAGAAACAACCTAACAAAAACAACCCACAAGGCTTTAAAGGAGACATGTGCTATCAATCTCTTTTTGATTTTCAAATCAAGCAGTACTTCATGAAAGCTTGGTAAACCATCTGAGCACGTGTGAACACAGTACATTTCAAAAGAAATGCTATTTATTATGAACATGCAAATGTATGTTTTTGAGGAACATGAGTGTCCTCACCTTATTATTCCCATTTTTATGAATTAGGCTCTATTGCCCCTTAGAAAGGTCTTCAGTAGAAATGACCTCTTCATCTACAGATAAACTTCATTAAAGCTGCTGTGCAGACATAGACTTGTGATCCCCCAATTTACAGCCCACTGGAAAGGTATTCCTTGATGGACAAGAGTTACTGCCTTATAAAGCTTTTCTCTTGCCCTGCCAAGTCTATTGCTTCACGTGGGTGAAGTGCCTTTTTTTGCTGCGGGCACATTTTTCTAGGATCTAGGATGAAAACATCAATTTTTCCAAAATTAATAGAGCAGCTACACAGATCAATGACATTTTAACCACTTCTACATTCTTTAAAAAAACCCCTTAATACACTAAAATCACTTAGAGTGTTCAAACACACAGTGTTCAGTGCATATTTTGTGTCACAGAGCAGCGGGGAAAGGGATAACTAATTTGGCAAAAAATAAGTGTTGCTAAGGAACAAAAAGGTAAGGAAGAAAAAAAAAAATGCATTTATCAAATTATACTGCAAAGGCTGGCCAGAATGGAATTCAGTGGAACACTGAACCACACAGAATTGTAAAAGCTGCAGGCAGCAGCACGTTCTGAATACTAAGACAATCAAAAACTGCTGATTAAGTTCAATTAGTAATTAAAAAGCATAAACCGTAACCTCCCAGGTTCTGCAGACGGCAGTAAGTCCCAGCCCAAATACTCCGCAGGAGGAATGCCATGCAAATTAGAGCCCGAGGGCACTGTTACAGTGTAAGCAAAAACAACGAGCCGAAATTCTGCAGGTAGAGGGTTTCTCTCAGTTCCCCTGGGGATTTGAGAGCATTCTCAAAGTCGGCAGCTCCGCACATCAGACAGGATTTCAGCTGGGCCTGGAGGACTGCCAGGATGTGGGAAAACACACCATCCCCTGCTTGCCCAAACTGAAAACGTAAGGACTGAAGAATTTTGTGAGAGCCCAGTGCAGCGTTCTGCTCTGGTGATATCACACACACATCGCTGCTCGGATCAAGAGCCCCAGCACCGTCCCGGGCTTGCGGATGAAGCCGCTCCGATTCCCCCCTTCCGAATTCCTGTCAGGCATGTTCAACGGCTCGCATCGGGCTGTCTTTTCAATTACACACAAACCTTGTGAAACATCTCCACCAGTAGCCAAACACTGTGGGGGGAAAAAGGAAACTCAAATCCTTTCCCGGGCAGATCAGCAAAGTAAAGCTTTGCTTTACCATAACAACAAAGTTGAGGTTCCTCAACACTCTTCCTTTATCCTGCTCTCTCACCTCAGCACCCGCCGTTTCTCATCATTCCTCACTCCTCCATCCCCTTCCCGAGCAGGCAGCACCGGACAAGACTCAGCTCCTGCAGGAGGACTTTAGACAGACACAGCCCCGCAATAAAACCGAGCTGCTCTCCCAGGTGGGTTCGCATTTCCCTCCCCACGACGAAATGAAAACCTCCTGTCTCCTCGCCTTCCCGTTCGGGATGAATTACCCGCGCGGGTCCTTCGCTGCCAGCTCTGCACTACTGACAGTATCATTAAGCTGAGCCCCACCAGGGACAAATCTCTTTAGACACTGAACAGTAATACTTTTATGCTGCCTAATGAGTTTTGCGGCGTTGCACGTTACGTTACGTAGGGAAGCGAATACCTACCCCGGGGCAGAGCATTCAAAGGACGCGTTGTTAGAGGTCTGGGTGTGCTCCTAGAGAGCCAACGTTTCCTTTTCTTCTACAAGTGCTCAAGAGAGAACAGGCCGCTGTGAACTCAGAGTTCACAGTAAATAAATACCCGAGTCGGCGCAGGAGAGTTGAAATGCCGTGAGAACACCCTGAGCAAGCAGGTGTAGGTGTGCCAACAACTCCAGCGACCTTCCCAGACCCAATCCAGGAAAAAACACCTTGCTTGGCAGTGTGCAACTACAGACACAACAGTACACAGTGCCTACAAACAGGAGGGGCACATTTTGACCAAGGAATGGCTGATTAGCCCAGAAAAAGCTTGAAGTGAGATCCATTGACATCCATGGAACATCACGGATGTGTAGCCATGGAGCTCCGGTGAGCTCCGGATAAAGCCCTTGGAATGACACAAGCCACTGTTGCATCACGATTCTGCAGTTATTAAAATAACTGCCCTGACTTAAGGGGAATTTTACTACTTAAGTTCTCTCTGTTCCCCAGTGATAGGCCTTATAAATGCTGTGGAAACAGAAACTATCACCACATGCAGCAGTGGGAAAAAAAAAAAGAGGAAAAAGCCCTGAGAAACTCATTTCCTCAACTGGGTGTCAGAAGTTTCAGTATCAGGCTTGAGTTAGTCGATCTCCAAGTTATGTTTCTCCCCTGGGAATGGACTTTAACTGCATGTATTTGGCAAAATCTCCTCTTAAAGCTGAAATAATTTGCAGCTGCTGGTAGGTCAATATTTGTATATATATATATATACACACACACTTTTTATACATATATACATAAGATGGATAAAACAATAGCTGTTTCTGTTAATTTTTGATGCTCTTTATCCCACAGGTTCTTTCACTCACACTATATGGGTAGGAACTCCTGCTACCATAAACCCTCCAGATTTTGGACATAGTAACAGCATGTAAGGTCTAAACTTCCCCTACTGCAGTTGTCATAAATTAAAAACATAGATTGTATTTTGTGCAACAGAACTGTGTGAAGGAACAAGAACTGAGAAGGAATAGGTTGCCCTTTTTTCTGACATGTAGCAATGACTATGATTCCAGTAAAGCTGCATCCATCTTTCGGTTTTTGGAAAAGAGATATTAAAATACAAGCTCTCTCTACCATCATGGAAAATTCCTTCTAATATTGTCTCTAAAGTAAACAATTATAAATGTATTTATGGACATTTATAACATTGCCAAAGCTCCATGCCTTGAGATCATGGGTCAAGCACCTGATTTTCATGGGATTTTTAGAGAATATTTTTGTTTAATACATTTGGGTTCTATATCTCTTCTGAATTCTGAGGCTTTAATGCATTGCATTTTCAATTCTGTAAGAAAAGAAAGTAAGAACACAACCACATATTTGCCACAAATAATCTCAAGTCATATTTCATTTGTCTCTCACAGTCAGGTTTGAGCCCATAAGTAAATTTTCAGATGGTGATAAAATTTTTAAAGCCAGCAGCCCAGCTGCTGCATTACATGTATTTAGCTGTATTTCACTCTCTGTTTGTATTTCTCTCTGTGGAGTTTTCTAATAGAAATATTCAGAGGCAAAATCCAACTAGGACAGTCAACATTAATGATAAAAATGGACACACCTGTTTTACAGAAAAGGAAAATATCAGGTTTAGAACAATCATGAAAGAAGTAGAAATGCTGTAGTTCAAGTGACATGTGACTGAGCTAAACAAGGTAAACTATAAACCTGGATTAATTGAACAGAATTAATGTATTTTGATTTTACTAGCAGAAAGCATGGATTACAAGCAGTTCTCAAAGTCATCATTTGGATGCTTGAGCTGATCTGTAAAAATCCCGGTCTGTGTAGAGGCAAACCACACAAGTTGCTCTCTGAAAATCAAAGGGGCCTATGTTTGCTTAAAGCACAGGCTGTCGCTGATTAAAGATGGGCTTGGCAACTGGAGCAATGGGACTTGAGGAGGCAATTCCCTGCTGTGGCAGAAACCCGGAGCCAAAAACCTAGGAGGTCTCTTCCAGAGCTGCCTTGCTTGCAACCAGCTCCTGTTTCTCTCTCGTCTGGGTTCAGCTGGACTGAAGAAGACATGAACTTCCGTTTTTTGGTGCACAGCAAACCAGGCTAACCTTCGGTTAGAGCACAGCTCTCACTCACAACTATTAACAATAAATATCAAATCCTCGGTTCTGTTCCTAGATGGCTCATTTCAAGTACACCAAACAAATATCCCATGGTCCTCATTCCAGAGATCCAGTAACTTGGATCTGCTCGGAGGCATGGAACAGAAAACTTGGTTCCTTTCCATGCTTTATGACTAATACTGTGGATGCATTAACTCTCAAATGGAAGGTATTGTGCTGATCAGACTTTGATCTGTGGCCTTGATCCTGGTCTACTCTTTCCAAGGTACAGCATAATAGTGAGGAAAAGGGTCCCCTGGGCAAAATTTCAGGGGTAGAAAGATTTAAGTGTGCGAGGTTGGATCTAACTCACAGAAACAAGTAATATACGGTCGGTGGAGACTCCTATATCACTTTAAATACAGTTGCTGAGGGTTTGCATGTGTTACTCCAATGATTTCCAAACTACAGCACTTTCTCTTCACCTGTTGGTTGCCACAGACCAGACAGAATTCCAATATATCTCACACAGAGAGCTGTCTGCTTAGGGATGCACAAAGAAATGCATTCTGAGGCAGCTCCAAACATTAAAATGGATTCAACTCCCCGTGAGGTCACTTTTTAATTGCAAGTGACAGGACCCCAAATATTGCATTGCTTGCCACGAGTTCTCTTTGAGTCACTTTTATACCTTGCAAAGAGACATTAGTCACCAATTAGGCTCCTGGCACTGTGGAATTTGCCTCATACAACCAAGATTCAATCCAAAAAGGCTCTAGTCCAGAAAGCAGCATAGCAGGGACATGGAGTGCCTGGCAGTGGGTTGGAAGGGACCTTTGGCAGTTTTCTCTGGCAACAGCGTAAAACTGAGATCCCCAAATGTTTTATCCCCCATTGTTTATCTGGGTGGCAGCCAATTCCACCTTGGGAATAGTTCTGTCCTGATGCACAGGAAAAGCAGTGAGGATGCCTGGTTTGGAGGGACCTCCCTCCAGCCCAGTTTAGTGTTGGCTCTAGAACAGGATCAGGTACAAGGATGATTTTCCCAGTGGGATTTTACAGAGACTGAGGTTATTCCATTGACTTTCATAACACCCAGGGGAGCCTCAGAGATTCAGATTATTTTGCATTTTGGAGAACCCAGTGAGGTCATTACCACGGATTTAAGAAAACCAATATTTTGGTTTTATATTTATGATCTTCTTTCCACTTTTTGCCTTTTAAGCCTTGGCATTTAAATGATTTTTCGTTTTGCCAGCTGTTCCCCCGTAAGAAGGGCGAACTATAAAACCAGTTCCAAACTGTAGATGGTTTAGTAATCACATGAAGTTAAGAGCAGCAGCTAGGGACAGTAGCACTCAATAAAACTTTACTGGTTAAAGTAAAACTGGCACCAGCATTTTCTCTGTTAATATGATTAGCCCGTTGGAAATGGCTGCACGACACACCGTGCATGGAGAAATCTGTCTCCTTCCTTTGTTGTTGCACCAATCGTGGAGATTTCCTTGGGGACACATTTATATGTTTTAGAAATTCTCCAGGAAGCAAATGTAACAGAGCACTGATGCAAACTGCTGTAATATCATGTACTGAACCGATTTTAGGATGTGTATGAATATTGCTGTTTCTATGGCAATGGAGCACCAGTTTACGGACACGAAATCCAAATCCACACAGGCAAAACCCAAGCACAAACACACTCACTTGCCGAACGCTTCTGGAATCAGTTCGGGGTGATTTATTTCCAACAGTAAATTTCCTACACATGTAACGTTCAGCAAACACTGTGAGCACTATGTACAACACTTCACAGGCTGAACTACACCCTGGGAAGTTTTTAATGCCAGGATAGAAGAACGTCAGACAGAAGGTGAAACTGGGAGGGAAAAACCCCACCCATATTCCTGCTCTTAAGCATCGATATTCCTCTCTGTAAAGGGAGGGAAAACAAAACAGGCATGCATATAAATCACTGCTTCTTAGCAACCAATAATCAATTTGGAGTGAAAAACTAGGACTTAAGCAAGGTCTGAGAAACAAACTAGATTTTTCCTTAAGTTAGGAGGGAAGAAAAGCAACACAAGAGGCTTTGAGAACAGGATTTGAGCTGGCTCCTCACTCAACTTGAGCAATTTGGTTTCTGGTGTTGCATTTCCGAAGCAGCTGCTGTGTTTTATGTCCTTACCCTGGTTTATGACTGGGACACATCACACATCCATTACCTACTCTGACTAATTATTTGGGAATTACTGCGGTGAGCAATGCCAGCAGAATTTGCTTTATTGCCTCAGCATAGTTCAGCTGGAAAATGCCTTATGGATACATCTAATTCCACGAAGACAAACAACTTTATAGTCATCATTAACACAGGCTCTAAATGCTACACAAGCAATTCCGTAGGAATTCTTACAGAAACCCACTATAGCTCATATGGAATAGAATCCACCAAAGCAACCTCTTTGGTGTGCCATCCACAGAGAGGGAAGCAGAAACAGTGCTGCCGTCAGAAAACACATTTCTGATCTGCAGAAATGTAGCGAGTTCGTGTAATTCAGTACAGATGTAACCCCGGGGTAAGTCTGTCAGTGTAATCAGGATTTTCACAGTATGTGAGTGCTGCCCTCCAGGCATTTGGAAACACCTTCTCCCTGCTGGCTCCTCACGGTACCTGGGAGTGCAATGAAACCGGAGCCGTGTTCCGCACGATCTTGCTTTACCCCACGCTGACTGTGGCCCTGATCCTGCACATGCTGACATTCCCACTCAAAATTCCCAGCATAAACAGCCCCACTGCTCCTGTGAGGCAAGTAAAACACGCACAGAGTTTTTGGCAGAGGTGGAAATCGTGCCTCTTCGGCGTCACCACCAAATTACCGACGGGTTGGGAACGGGTCCCCAGCTGTTGTTTCACGATACAGAGGAATATGAGGTAACAACACATTGCAGAATCCGTGTTTGAATCACCAAAATTAGTGCCAGCCACAGTGCCCTCACTAAGCAATAAAGACCTCTCAGAAAACGGCCCCATAAAAAGGAGAGTGAGTAATTGGAGAGAAGATCCAGCTAGGAAAGATCCAACTAGCGCTGCCTAATTAAAACAGGCCAGGTCACACTTTCCTCTGCTGCTTTATGGATGCAAAGCTGTAGAACACAGGCAGAAGTAAATATTGGATATCATCAGCCTTGCCCTTGTAATCCTCTTTCCTGGCAGATCCCAACTCTTTCAGCATGATCTCTCCCTGCTTTTCCAGACACAGCCATGGGCTCAGAGACCATATTTGGCAAAGGTGAGGAGGCAAGGAATGTAAAAAAAAGTGCAAAGGGAGGGGTTTACTTTGTAAAGCAGACATGTTTCTCCCTTTTTCTTTACCCTTTTACAGTTTCTCCAGCCTGTGCTACCCAAGGAAAGGATGTGGCTGATCAAACCTGGGCTGGGGTTTAGCCCTGTACAGATGCCTTGTATGGTGGAGAGCCATTAGATACTACAACACTACAAGGAAGTGGCACCATGTGACTCATTTTACTCACACACATACTGTTAAAAAAAAACAAAAAACAAACCCAGACATGTGGAAGAAATCTCAGTTATTTCCTAGTTTTAAAATATTTTAAGCATGAAATAATGATTGGAAATGATTAGTTGCACCAGGGGAGGAGGAAAAGCAAATTTGGCAGCTCATTGTGATGCTCAAACGTGACACAAGGCAAACAGGTGTGCAAACCAAAAAGAAGGGGTGGAAAAAAGGCAGAGTTTTTCTAGTAAGCAATTATATTCATGGACTAAAAGAATAAGTTGGCAACCAGACAACATATATGGAAAATAAATGGCTAATGAGAGAAAAGAGCCATAAGAGCGTTCAGATACTGAGACTATAACGTAAAGATAAGAAAAATAACAGGTTTAATGACTATGTAAGGATCAATTATAATGGAAAGGAAGTTTTGAGTAGATCCAAATTCAATTTCTGAAAACAACAAGAGCTTTTTAGTTTGCCAGATGAGTTAGTAAATGAATCTAGAATTGCAGAGGTTTCTGGGCCTCTACAGAAGAAAAATTAGTGGCCCTGGCTGGTACTGCCATTGTTTAAAAACTGTCCAGGGATTCTGCTGGAAACACAAGGAACAGCTTTCCATGTTCAAGGGTAAGCAAAAAAAGTGGAATAGAATAAATTTACTCATGTGGAGCATTACCTCCACTATGTCACAATTCTAATGTATATTTAACATGCTGTGTGAGACCCAGAGGGTTACAGTGACCCTAAATCCTGTAGTTTGTCAAGGATGGGCTGCAACAGGGGGATCCCTGACCTAGAGAAGATTTTTTTGAAGGAGGATCATCTCTTTTTTTTTGCCCTAATACTTTGACAGAGTCATCATTCTGAATGTACAAGGTACTCCCTGAGCAGTGCTTTCTGAACCCTCACTCCCCTTTGGGAAAAGGCCTCTTGGCCACTTAGCACCTGATAGCCCTTTCCTTTTAACAAATTTACTAGTTATCACATCTTTTTGAAGGGAAAAGAGACGAAAAAAGACCAGGGGGTTCTGTCAGTCACATTTTGTGTGTGTGAAACTACAACTGGGCTCCAATGGAAGTTTCAAAGTACACGTAAGGAAGGAAACTGCTGGAATGGGAGCCTTGGAACAGAGACTCTTTACAGCAGTCACTTCATATCAGCACAGCGAATTTCCCCATGAACTGTGAGGAAGTTTGGGCCTCTACCTGTTGATACATGATGAAGGTTTGGGAGGCAGAGAAACTGCTAAATATGTGACACCAAGGACATGCATAAACACCACACGTGCTCTGTCACGGAAAACCTGATTTAGGCTGAATATGTGAAGGCTCTTATTTTGCAAATAAGCAGCATTTGGGGAGCTCCTCCCTGGATTTCTTTCATTCCAGACCGCCTGGAACATGGGTGTGAGAAGTGCAAGGGTGAGAACACATATGCAGATACTGGATTACTACACTGCTTTAACATAACCTGGAATTGCTAAGGAAAGACAGCAGTATTTTTTACTGGGAACTGAGAAGAGGACTGACAGCAAGAAGAGA